TAGAACTAATGTTAGTGCAAGTGTAAATACTGGGTAGAATGACGGACACCAGCAGGACTTTTTAAGACTGATAATAATATCCGTTCTCTGTTGAATAAGCTTCATTTACTCCGCACCATCATATGCCTGATTAAACGTGACATGATTTTACTCACTGAAACCTGGTGTAATGATTCTATGCTTAGCCAGCTGCTTCAATAAAATTCACAAGCTTATTAGAAGTGATCGAAAGCAAGACAAAGGTGGTTGCATAAGTTACTACTCGCAAAACCTCCTTGTCTCTGAATTCACACTTCCACGTATATGCCCCACTATAGATTCTGCTTGGCTACTGCTGTCCTTCGGTACTAAGCGAACGCTTGTAGGCTGTATATACCGCTCACCCGGGGTCAGCCTCAGTGATTAGAACCAGTTAGTTGACATCTCTAATTACATATCGAAACTTGCTTCCTTTGATAAAATCGTTGGCGGAGATTTTAACCTATCAGACATCTGTTGGCCCCACTTAGTAACAAACGAGAAACACGCTGAGTTTATAACCTCCGTCAGTAATGGCGGTTGGGACCAGCATGTTCTCGTCGCGACTAGGGGTAAAAATATAGTAGACCTACTTTTTACTGATGTAATTGACGGTCTCGCAGGATGTGATCACAAAATAGTCGGATGTAAACTTATAGCTGAGTCGTCGCATGTGAGGTCAGCGGTGGTTTCACACTTCCTGAAAAAGGTCAATTGGGTAACTTTCTCCGCTTTGATTAGGGTCCAAAATTGGGACCATATCTTCCTTTCGTCTGATATTAAGGGAGTCGCTGACATCTATGATGTGACTGTGTGCTTAAGCATACTTGCCTCCAGTGATAATACGAGAACCTCTTCTAACTACGTTACCAACGCAAAGGACAAGCGGAAAATACGAGTGCTAACTCGAACATATGAACGTACTCACAACTTCAGCGTATTACTGAGACTCCAACGCCTTATAATTGAGACGCACATGAAACACCAAACCGGTTTCATACAGGAAGAACTAGGAGCTGTAAACAGTAGTAATACAAGTCAACTGCTGAGTGCATTATTGAGAAAAGGGGAAGCGGCAAAAGTGACCTACCCTCCCACATCGTCATGCCTGAAGGCGAATGCATTGATTCCCCAATTGCTATAACAGAAGTCTTTAGCTCATATTTTGCTGAATCCTTTAATCTGGAAAAAGAAGCGCTGGAATTATCAACCTCGATTAACTTCTCTGAACAAGTCTCAGCGTTTGACTTTAGTGTCGCTACGATAAAACGCATGATTGCCTGTCTACGACCATCCAACAGACGCGGCCCCGATGGGATCTCTTCTGCTTTAGTAAAACACGGTAGAGATGAGATCCATCTTCTGTTATTGAATATAACTTTGTCTCTCCAGTCTGGTCAATATCCCGAACGTTGAAAAACTTCTACGGACATACTGAGACATAAGTCCGGGGCGAAAACTGACCTTTGGAACTACCGACCCATTAGCCAAACTGCCATTCTATCACGCATGTTAGAATTCTTAATGAACATCTGGTTTCGTTCCTATTATCGCACCAACTTCTCTCACCTTCACAGTATGGCTTTCTGAAGTCCTGCTCGTGTGTTACCTATCAAGTTGAGTTGCTTAACCATCTAACTGAAGCAGTTGACTCAGGTCTTCAGTGCATTGTCATCTTCCTTGACAAGCAAAAAGCGTTTGTCAGAGTCCCATACAAGAGGCTGCTATGCAAAGTAAGTAGGTACGGTGTGAGAAATTCGTTTCACTCTTGTCTTTAATCGTACCTAGAAGGACAATCGCGTTGTGGATAAAAATGGTAACATCTCTTCACCTCGTCTAGTCACCAGTGGGCAGTGTTTTAGGTACATTACTCTCCCTACTGTATTTGAATGACCATATTCCTGTTATAGAATTTAGCAAGCCTTATTTGTTTGCTGATGATCTAAAGGTTAATTACTCGTTCTCAATTTCTCAGCATACCGCTGAACTTAACCATATACAAAGCGACTTGAAAGCCATAAAGAGATGCGTTGACCTGTGACAGATGACGTTCGCAGCATCGAAGTGTGGTATTTTGGCGTATGGATACCAAGCAGAAGCAGAATTGTCCAGGCTTCATGACGAAGTCATTCCCATCAGTCAATCTGTCCGCAACTTAGGTTTGAGATACTCTAGTTCGTTAAACTTTAGCGCATATACAGATCATATCGTGAAAAAGGCCAAGTAGTCGGTAGGGCTCATATGGCACCTGCTAACCTTGAAAGAAAGCAGACTAACTGCTTTCAAAATCAGTATCAGACCTTTGCTTTAATACTGCTATGTTACGTTCAGCAACATGCGAAAGTGTGATTTGAGAGCCAGTGAAAAGGTTCAACGCGCCTTCACGAAGTGTATATTTGGTTATTCAGCCCCTTTCTTGGACCTTGCAACCACCACGCTCGCCTGACCGATGTGCGCTGCTCTTAAAGCTGGAAAAGTACAGAACGCTAACCAACCCACTGGGTCAGGTAACGACACCACGTTGAATGGCAAAAATGCGAATCCGAAAAGGCTCCAAGCGAAAGGCATTTGCGGGTTAGGAGAATCTCATCGAGTAGTTGAAATCGGTCAGGCTTGATCGCATTGTGCGTAATGGTATCATACGAAATATGCAAATGTGTCCCAACAACAGGTACGAGAGCGAAATAGCTCCCAAGATGCACTTTGGTTCTGTACTGCGTGCCCCACCATCCCACTCGTTAAGTGCTTGCTTATCCTAGCTCAGAAGTGCGACCGGTTAATCGCAGAAGCCGAGCAGAGGATGAATGATAAGATTACTTCAATTGAAGCGAGTATGCACCACGGAAGCGTAGCGGCTTCTAAGCAACGAATTGCTGAACAATCCGCTTTCCCTGAACCGCAATCAGCCACGCCCCCATTGTATTCTCCAACTTTGGCAGAACGCCGGGCGAAAACAGACCGTACCTACGAGAGTCAAACAGTACTCACGGCAATGAAAATCAGACACCACTCGAAACGTCTGGCTAAGCAAATTCCACTAGACCTGACATCTAGCATTTACAAGGATGAAGCAGCCGAACACCAACCCTAAGTACCTGTTGCTCAAATGTCTCTTGTCGAGACAAAGCCCCGCAGAACATCAGTTACATATGCAGAGATTTCTGCAAAGGTCTGCCGCGAGACCGCCGCTGCGGCCACTTCTGTTGTAAACACCGTTAACGCGAACAGAGGGACAAACAGCAAACAATCAACACTTGCCAGCAGGTCAGGACAAACGAGTACCGTACCTTGTAGAGCAACGAAAAAGAGATCCAACAATAGTGCCCGGACTGTTGTACGCTCAAATGTCCATGAATCTACCGCCATCACATTGCGGGATAAGTTATCGGACGGCCACGACCAATGGAACTCATTGTGCGTGCAGATGAGTGTCAAAGCCAAGCCCATAAACTTATTAGGAATTACTCGTCATCCGAACTCGCCACAATATGGAAAACCCAGACTTATTCGAGTAACACTAGAATCCTCCAACCAAGTAGAAAACCTTTTGCTCTCTGCCAGCGCGCTAAAACACGGATCTTGTGGACTACGCATTTATCCTGATATCCCTTGGAGCGCGCGACAATCAGAAAGCAACACCGAAGAGGAGCACAGCAAACCATACCGCCTAAACACAATCTTCATAGACGGCGTGCCAGAACATCCTCCTGTTCTGTTCAAGAGACCGGAAAGCACGAGTTAGAACAGTGGCGGTTCGTTCGTGAACACTTTCTTTAGATAATATTGTAGCGCTATTGCTCATCAGGATACCTCACTCACCAAATTATAGTGGATGCGGCCCTAGAATCCTAAAACTTGTGGTTCAGTCAGTTCAACAAGCAACGGATGTCTTGGATCGATGGTGGAGAAATCAGAGAAGTCATACTTCTGAACTTCGGTTAAAGGTCGCAGAAGCCTTGCACAGCTCAAATATTAAAGCACCTGAAGCAGAAAGCGTACCGACGAATGTACAGAAGCGTAACTTGACTGCTGCTTTAATTGACTCTGAGATAGGTCTAAATGAAGATTGGGAGGCAGCTTGACTGAATCAAGTTGGAAACGAGGTACCAGTATCCCAACAAAAAAGCGAGTAACTGCCGGCCTCCATTCGGTCGGTATTCTTCCACACTTGATCACCCCTCTGTTGGCTTCTAGAGACCGAGAAACTGGCCTGTTGGTATACGAATGCTCAGCGTCCTTTTAATAAACTGGCCGAACTGAAACATCGCCAAGGGCGTTTGGACAAATAAACAGCGCCATATTTCGACAAATGCTTAATGCGTATGTTCGCCCCCATGTCGAATACGCAATTCAAGCCTGGCATCCATGGCTGAAACACGACATTAATGCACTGGAGCAGCCACAATGTCGGGCATCTAAGAACGTAATTGGAATGCGGAATCTTTCCTACCAGGAGAGGCTGCAACGATTGGGGGTGTTCAGTGGAAGCTATCGCAGACTACGAGGCGACTTGATTGTGGCATACTTGATTCTACGTGACCTACATCATTTGTGCCGCCCTTTACTGCAACTCAGCACCAATACAAACTTGAGGGGGGCATCCTCTGAAACTCGCCGTGCTGTATAGCCGCAGAAAATTCTTTTCCATTCGTGTATGTCATCGGTGAAATGCTCTCCCAGAATCGGTCGTCTCTGCACCGATGCTAACAGTATTTAGAAGACGGTTGGATGATGCACTCATCTACTTACACTTTGTCACTTAGCACTACGTCTCCATTCTACACCTGGAGTTCAGCATGGAATTATTTGTTGTTAACTGTGGATGCTGTGAAACTAAGAGTATCGCAGAACTACAGCGGAGCAAACGATAAGTCCTCATTTACATATGTAAATTATTAACTAGTTTACCATCCTTATCATCATTATTGTTATGTTGATATCCCCACCAACTATCCAACGGGATTGGTAAACCAAGGCTTCTTAACCCGTATAAATTCATTGTTCAGAAAGGGTCGCAGCAGGCGAATCGGCGTGAGAACCCGTTATGTGCAAATTGCAGGTGCAAATAACAGTATAGTCCAATGTGGATAAACGAAGTGTTTATAATTACTTCAATTATTGAGCTACACTGAGAAAAAGTTGTGTAGCGCATCTGAAAATACTCTTTCAGTATTTTACTACTATCCGAATCTTCTCAAGGTTCATTTGTTTTACTGACTGTACATCCGTCTCGCAAAGTGCTCTCGTGAGTTCCACGCCGTAGGCTCCTCTCTGTTGTTGATTCGCTCATTTCTTGTAGCCTGTACGATATACATTGGGTCGAGTTGCCTCCATCTTTTCTACCGTCCCGTGTTTGGCACGTCACTTACGTGTCATTACCACCAAACAGTATTCCCAACCGCTGTAAAAGTTTCGCTCGCAGAAACAGATAGGCGTTCGCAAGACATCCGGAACGGTGCATATTCTTAACGAGGTTGTCATTTTGAAACATATGCACACTATAGGCAACCCATAATTCCCAAAAAAGATGAAACCAAGTCACCCATTCACGGATGAACTGAAATTTAATACAATGTAATCCTTGGTCAGAATTCAGCAGTCCAAATGAAGGGAACGTAAAATAAGATTGGCAACGGTCTGAGGGGCAGAACTGACTAAAAGTAAAAAAATAACAGTTACAAGGCGCATACTCAGGTCCAATTTTAGGCGTAGGAAAAAAAGTTCAACAATCGGATATGTTCGCAGTCTTGGATACCACTTAGGAAGATATTTGAAATGATATCCAAGTCGGGGGCATTTTCGCCCTCAAAAGGCTTTGGGTTGCTTTTGCACCTTTTGCATCTAGCGTCTATAAGGGCTTTAAGACTTGTAATGAAACTACAGGCAGTGCTTTTTCGGAGCACAGGCTCCCAGCAATTGAGGACGAAATGGGCGTGTGAAGCGGAAATAAACGCTGACTGACAGTAGTATGTTTAGGCTGAAATGCACTTAGAGCGGGCCGAAACGGATTATTTCTGCTACGTAAGGTTATTTCTTTGTGAACCAATAAGAAGGAACAAATATGACAGATTTCTGTAGGCGGAAAACAAAGCAACAGGATATTTATCAAACATATGGGACTAGAAAAAATTAAATAAAAGCAAGTCATGAATCAATCCAAGAAATGTACACCTCACAATCCAGTTGAATGGATACAAGCATCGCAAAACGGTGAACACAGAACAGTCAAGAAGAGGAATTGATAAAGTGCAACAATAGCGACGCATATGGGCAACTCCAGTGATGCCTCATTAGAGAAGGGCAATCTGAAACTCCATGCATAAAGCCGTTTGACGACGATAGGTTGTACAGTGGAAGTAATTAACCAGCGAAGAAAATATCAGAAAGCACATTCACTATGGGGAAGTGAATTACAAAAGTACACTTTGATCGCGTACTATTCAAACACAAATTAGAGCCACAATGAGCTCATTGATCCGCCCATTTCGCTTTGCTCTCGCACAAACACTTCGTAGTATTGATAGATGGTGGTAACGGCCATTAGTATACCAGTACCACTTCCGATGGCTCCTGTAAAGGGAAGAAACAGCGCAGTTTTTTTGACGAATAGGGAAGCAATGTTCATTTCGTGACAGACACGGACATTAACAGGTAGAATAGTCAAAATGAGGTTAGTGACATGTAGGCGATTGTAGTAGTAAATTTTGCAGGATCGTGTTGGGATTTAAAAACCGAGGAATGAGGCGATTAGCAACAACACGTAAAAACGCCTAATAAGACGAAAACCTACAAGAAAAGAAAAAAATGCACGAAGAATACGAGCGGCTGAAAGCCGACAGTCAAAGTGTCAGCAAAGTAACATGGACAGAAAAAGTGAGAGCGTCTATGGAATCGTGCTGAGGTTGATGTTGCATTCAAAATGCTTCTTCACCGCAGCTGGGTTAAACCAACTTACACTTAATCTAGGTCTTTCCATCTGGAAGAAAGTCATTCATCTTTATTTGATTTGTCCAATTCCGTCACTCTGCTGCATATCCTGTGTCAATTTTGCGTGTCTGCTCTCCCTTAAATTCAATGTTGGATGTTTGATATCCCCGGAATGGTTGCGCTTGATGTGAGTGTTGACAAGGTGCCTACCTGACGACTACCCTCCACGTCGATTACTGGCTCCAGGAAACTGAATCGTTGCTGGGGGGTCAGGTGCGCGGTCCTCGTGGTCGTGCCAGACTCAGAGAGTGGTTCCATCCAGTGTGGAGCGAACCAAGGCCCAGCCAGCGCCTTGTGCACGTCTGGTACGTATGATTCCCAACCTGGATAGACAAGAATGCTGCTGCTGTGCATGTTGAAAGTGTGAACCAGCTAAGCAGATGTAACCTGGCTCCCATCTACAAGCCTCCCGCGGTCTTAATCCTGCGGGTTTACACTGGATATGGTGTTTGGATGGAGCTGTGAGTGGTGCAGCGAAAGCCACCCATGATCCCACTGTAGACGAAGGCATCGTGTGGAGGCCATAGTGACAGGCATACCCGGAACCGGATGCCGTCAACCAATATGTATGGTTGACTGCATCCGGTTTTCGATTTGCCTGTCACTGTTGCCAGTCAGCATCGGCCGTCGCGCAGTGGCCTTAGGAAAAGAGTGGCCTTATCTGCTGCATACAGTGAGGTGGATAAGCGAAAACATGCCACCGCTGACGCCTTGCATCTTTCTTCTTTCCTTGCACATAACCCCTATCCCTATTCCAAGTAACTCCCTACTTTCTCCAACATAAGTCACTACACGAGCGATTGTCCGACACCGTGATCGTATGCTTGCGAGCAAAGTACTCAACATCGGGTGCTGGAACGTGCGCACACTACTCGATCAGCACACGAAAGAGACCCGAGCGAGGCACTGCACTGGTCGTGATAGAATTCGCGCGCTATGAGGTCGACATTGCTGCAATCAGCGAGACCCGGCTCGCTGACCAAGGCAACCTGAATGAGGCTGGTGCTAGGTACACGTTTAACTGGGTTGGGGTAGAGTTTGTACTATGCGATCGCCTAAATGGCCTGATGTTGGGTGAACCCACTGGCATCAGCTCAAGATTTATGACTCTTCGTTTGAGACTTGGAAGAGATAAGTTTGCTGCTTTTATTAGTACCTATAGTTCCACCATGTGTTATCCTGAGGACACATGGGATCAGTTTTACACATGAAACGTTCTGTGCCGAGGAGCGACCGGCTATTCTTACTGGGTGATTTCAACGCGTGTTGGGCGTAATGTCGCGGTGTAGACAGACGTAATCAGTCTGTATGGAATAGGTAGGGCCAATTGGAATGGTGACTAGCTGCTCACTTTGCGCCACTCACAGCCTGACGATCACGAACATCCGGTTTGCAATGGGTGCGAGTGATATAGCTACTTGAAATCACTTAGAGTGGTCACGCTCACCTGCTCGACTATGTCACCGTAGACCAGCGTGACATGCGCGAAATTCACAGTCAAGGCGACTCTTGATAATCTGCGTGACGATGATGCAGGACGTGGTTGAAGTATGAAGTAGCATTATCATCATTATACACGTTAGCTGCAGGTGGAAAACACTTCAGCTATTGTGCCGCAAAACAAAAAAAAGAAAAAAACATGAAACGGAGTCATGCCGGCTGACTCACCAGTAACATATGGACATCGTTCCGGAGAGCTAAGCGCTGGCTATTGTGCCGCAAATAAGTCAGATTATGCCTAAATACTGAAATGGTGTTTGGAGGGAAAGGCTAAGCGGTGAAGGGAAAGGCAGAGAAACTCACAACACAAACGTCATTGAGGTCAGCACCTAGCCATGTCAGTAGGTGTATCCAGCCAAACGTGTTCGTATTTCGGTCACCAACCAGGGAACCGAGATGCTTCAATCGAGGGTAACTTCGAAGTAAAGGCCCTCATTCCTCTTGACCAAGTCATGGCTTGGGCACTTTTCCTCTTCTTCCATCCGCACCCCGGCGCGCAAACAACGCACGTTGTGGGAGTCGGTGGGCTGGCATACGCAACACGTGGCCCAGCCATTAGAGTTTGGCGTGTGAAATAATGGTCCTAAGGGATTCGCTTCTTCTTCCTGCGTCATAAACAAGGCGTCGAACACGCTCTTTGTTCACACGGTGTTCCCACTAAATATGAGCCAAACTGCGAAGGGGCACTGGCGGTCGGACGTAACTAGCCTCCTGATGTGATGGGCCAGGTTTCACAACCGTACAGTTGGGTAGAACGTACCGCTGCATTGTATACTTTACCCCTCAGAAAAAGTGATGTCATGCCGGCGCCATAGATGGCGAAGGTTAGCAAAAGCGCCTCGTACTTTTGAAGAAATAGTCATGGTTGTATGTGGGCGCCCAGACGATTAGGGTCCTCAACCATAGCCTTTAGATCGAAAGCCCGTCCCAGCAAGGAAGTGGATGTGGCAACGATTCGGTTTTACAGAAATGGAGGCCATTTCATTTCTAACCCCCCAAATCTGGAGGACAAGGAGACTGAGTTCGTCTGACCTCTAGCCATTGACCAACCTGATAGGAGTAGCTCTCAGGGGACCGGGGGAATCACAAAGCATAGATCAATGGTTCAAGGATGTACTGATGCTGATAATGATGGTCCAGGTTGCCGATGAACTCGGTAGATGTCAGGAGATACGATGTGAAGATCTATGATAGAGGGTAGCGCTGCTAATATAAAGGTCCTAATCAACACATAGTCTCCGGATAATTCACCAGTCTGTTCAGTGTAGGGACTGAATATTCTAACGCTCATGCGTTTTGTACTACTGTGCCTATAAGTTTTCCAAAATCCCACCTGCATGCATTCATCGGATCAGGCCCGATGTGTCCCTTCCAAAGCTCCGTATATCTCAAATCTACACATTAAGGACCACCATTTACCGTCGAAAGTTCATTCACCTTGTATACTACACCACAAAATGTGGCGTTTTCCAGAAGCCCAACAACAGTTCTCTAGATATTTCACAACTGTTTCTATCGGCGGCTACCGGCAGCGGTGTAAGAGATCTACCGCTAGTGCCGACGCCCTGCAGGCGTTTTGACTGGATCGATAGTCTGTGCGTCGTCCCAAAACCTGTGTGGATTCCAGTGCATCCGTTTATGACCTGTCGCAAGAAATGAAAAACTCCTGTGTAGACCCGACTGCTAACCGGTGCATTAGTAGGACGGTTAAACCAAGACATAAGACTGCGCAAAGGGGTCGGTATTGGTGAAAAGCTCGCGTTCCCAAAGAAATAGCGTGTTTGACTCAAAGGCGAAGATTTAAATAGTTCACTGCGGTGCGTTCGTGTCGTTCCTCACTGATTCTTCTAGTTACCAGGAGTTATAATTTTGTCATCATCATATAAACGTGGATCTCTCAATTTAGGGCGACAGTTAACAACCATTCTCATAGCTCCTTTTATTTCGGCTCACTGTATTTTACATTTGATTGCATCCTCATGTCTGCACTAAGGGACGCGCTAGATGAGAGAAAAACGTATTGCAAGTCAGGATGTTGAGAGCGCAAAATAAGGTACCTCGCACAACGGCTGGAAGCAATGAATAAAATACCCGGGAGAGTGTAGACGCTGTGGGAAATTCCTCTGGGTTCCCTGAGAAAGACACCTAAAAAGATTCATCTGTAACTGAAACTGTATGTGCTGAACTTTCATTAAAGGTTGCAAACCCTGCAGAGGATAACTGCCTTATTTGAATCGCCCCCAAATATTGGTGAAATGCACCTCACACAGTGCAGTGTACGAATAGACTCTATTTCGACCAAAATACAAAATCAAGCACGCTGTAGTTATTAAGGTGCTAGACAAACTACCACTGAAAACTGTTTAGGAAGTGCTTCGCACTGTATGCGGTACGCAACTTTTTTGGTCCAGTTGCACTAGACTACACAAAACCGCGATAAGTTACGCGTGTCGAATACTTTTCTAGTTTGAAAATGAACTAATCGCCAAGTATTTCATTCAAAAGCGCAATCTCATTCTGCTTAATATGACTTCCAAATGTTTGAAACTTGTAGAAGATGAAACCCAGCCACAACAAAAGATTGGGAGGCGACAGGCGAAAGCAAACCCAACGACCGAACAGCCATCTGGCGATTCGCGTCCAGTGGAGAGTGTTCCACTTAGTAGCCATAATGACTGAGATTAGTACTCAGGTTGCAGAGATAAGGATGGTGTGATGAATTATAAAAACACTTAAAACCCGCAGTGGGTCGCCTGAATATGCGGATCACTCTAGTTTACTAGCTGTTGTGCCTAGGAGAATGCCAATTTTCCTGGCACTTGGGAAATGAAGTCGACGTCAGGTGCAAAAGTAGTTACTGGAAGATCTCCACCAGATAGAAGCTTCACGTCTAAGCATGAGAAGCCGACAAAAGCCTAAAAGATTACAATTTACAGTATTGGTGATGTTGATAGTGTTACCACTCGGAAAATCAGTTCTGGTAGTCATACAGGCTTTTCTAATGTCGTTTCCTGCATTCGAGGTGGTAGCAATGTGATGCAACGAAGAACAACTGCACTACCTGCTGAATCCCAGATGTAAAC